AGAAGAGGGTAGGTCGAACCCCAACTATATGCATAAACATGGTTGGAATTTACTAGACTAAGTCAGTTGGAAAACACAGGTATATAATTAATGATCAAGTTATTTATTTTGTAAGCACTAGTCAAGTGTTAGTATGGTTATATTTACCGTGACAGATTTCCAAATCTTGTTCTTGATGGTTACCGGAACTTGCCTCCAAATGTCAAACCATATTGGAGCTTTTGTCCTTGCCAATACTCCAATATAAGATTGCATCTCTGCAGCAGCCACGCCATACGGTTGTCCCTTATCATTAAACAAAACCGTTGGTTTCTGTCCATTTATCTTACGTTTCACAACGCGGTGCATTGAAACACATCCACGTTTTCGGAGTTTCAACCCACCCCCAGAAGGCTTGGCGACACTTTCACTTTCGAATTCTTCCCGCTTTCTCTTCTGCTTGATCTGTTTTTGTACATTGTCAGATATAGGCTTTGGCTTTGGGGTGACGGGCAAGGGAGTAGAATGGCTTTGCACATTCTTTGACCTTGAGCCACTCAATGCCTGCACCACTGTCAAAGTGCTCGGCCGATATTTTCTTTTAAGCCTGGGAGATTTTCGGAGCTTGGGTTTTGGGGAACTATGACATTGCAGTTCATTACGGTCTGAAAGACCTTCAGGTTTCTTGTGCCTTGGAGAGGATCGGAGAATTGGTTTTTGGATTGAACCTCCAACCTGCGCATTCTGTTTAGTGCTGGCCATATTCTGAAAGTGAGTGAAGATCAAACATTTCAGTCTAAAATAAGGTATATATCGAATAAATGCTGCGCATAATGAAAAATTGGGTTCTGCCTCAATTTGTAGGTGGGTTATCACATTCATTTATTTAGGTGAATTTTCAGGAGTACAGTTTGTGATAAGGGACACTAAAACAGTAAAGTAAATTTGATGTCAAGCATTACACAAACAACAAAGGTCTGTACCAAAATATTGTGATAAAAAAACGTATTAAGATTAATATTTTTTTAAATATATTTAAAAAAGGATGGAAGGAGTATTGAGTTGACTTTAGAAAAAAAATTGTTCATTTTTGCTGCTCTCA